CCTAAAGTAAAATCGAATGAAGATTCCATCATTTCTCACATCAATTTCAACCTGCTTTGCTTCAGACCTTTCATTTTAGAATGAAAATGTGGTTTGCTTCGAAAAGAAAGCATTCATCTCTTCAGAGAATCCATTGTCTTAAAGGCTCGTGAGAGAACGTAAAAGGAAGCTATTTTATTTCGATGAAATGCTATGTTAACCGTTCCGAAAGAAAATGAACTAGAATGAATTCTACTGGTTTAAGAATGATTCAGAATGCTTTCTCTTCAAATAGGGAACGATTTTTCAGTATAGAAGAAAGTATTCCATACTAGTGTGGAACGGTAAAGAACGAGTTCCTTCGGATCGAGAATATTTCTTTCTGACTCTGAACGCATTCGCTCAAACAAGGAACGCATTCTCTACGTAGGAGATAGGTTTCCATATCCGCATGAAACCATTCTATTCCGTTTTTGTTCGAAATATTTTTCACTGGGTTGTACACACCGTGTCACACCCAAAAAAGAATATAGTAATTAGATAAAGCAATTCTTTGCCCACTCTTCACGATTTCATCAGATAGTTGAAAGCAATATGATGTGAGATCATTCATACTGGGCGTCTACAAAAGGACGGAGGAAAGTTTTCTGCCAAACTTCGAACTTTGAACTTCGAAACATAGGAGAGACAAAAGGATCAAATAGAATTATCGTTTCTTTTTATTGATTTGAAGTCTTTATGGACTATCTTGAACATCAATCAAAGTTTCACATAAATTTCTATTGTAAAACCTGCAAAGTAAACAATTTGAATTGTCTAGTCTAACGAATATCAATTTCATCTTTGATACTATAAATGAGTCTACACAATGAGTGAATCGCTTATAAATGCATGTGTATAATAAGCACACAAGTATTTATTATCGCAAGGACAGAGAAAGTGAATAACTTCGACGATAGCTATACATCTATATAGTGAATAATTTTTACATACGATTGCGTCTTTTTTTCTTGATTCAGTTCTTATGTATGAAAAATTATCGACTCAAAGTTCAATAATCACATACACTCAAGTGTCGTATCTTACACTCATTATTTATAACAGACAAGTAAGGGTCGAGATTTGATTTAGAAAAAACCAAATCTTCAGTTACTATTTTCTATGATTATATGTTGAAAGCAATGTGGAAATTAATTTATGGTTTAATTCTGTTTTCAACAGTCTCTATGACAAGAACTGATAGAAACAAATTATCTGATAGATCTTATTCAATTGAATCTAATCGAACGTACATGTAAATATGATATCAATTTGAATAGATAATTTCAATCAGATTATTTTAGGATATTTGTTCCCAAAGATGTACCAATAGGTTATACACAAATAATTGATACATTTGATTCATCGTTTTGTTTGAGATGTCCAACGAATAAAACTATTTCTCATCAGCATAAATTACCATTCGAAATTTTATTACTACCAAATGACAATTGCACATTATATTTACATATTATTCATTTATTCGACCAAACGCGTATATCGAAGTATACAATTCAACAAAACTTAACTCGTGTTGAAAATATAACTGTCAACATTCAATTATCAGTCAACATTGTCGATGTTAATGATCATGTGCCAATGTTTGGAAATGAGTTTTATCATTTTGTTGTAAAAGAAAATGTTCAGCCAGGAACCTATATTGGACATGTACAAGCTTATAATCCATTCATTTTCTCTACGAGTAAAATATCTTACATTTTACATGACACCGATCTAAAACATTTGAATAATAAAACGATGTTTCGTATCGATAAATATACTGGTGATATCTTTCTATTCGATTGTAAACTTGATTATGAAACAAAACGAGAACATAAAATTATGGTTGAAGCAAGAGTTTATGACGATAATGAAACTGCTACACAAATACCTCTATCATCATTTGTCGATATAATTATTACTGTTGAAGATATCAATGATGAAAAATTACAAATTATTTTTACCATGCCGGATGATAATAATAACAATGAGAATAGTATGAAAATTATGAATATATCAAAACCACAATTAAGCGAAGGTTTGTCAAATAGATAATAAATTTTCTTTTCTGGTGTGATTTTTATGCGAAGTCATATGTAATAAATAGGAATCATTTTTATGTTCAATTTAAAAAGATTCAAGAAGCTTTTAACTTCGATTTTAGTCAACGAAGAAAATATGATTTGAATTTTTCTATAAAAAAAATGATGTGATAAATATACCTTTAACAGACTTTTTTTTCATATTTACTAGATGTTTTTTCTTTCTAAATTCTAAACAGATACTTAACGAATGTAAAGCTTATTCTGTATTAAATGTGCATTTGTATTTATCTGCGTTTATTAGCAACTAATTTCAAAACGTTCTAGAAAAACATTTCCTCTGCAAATGTGAGGTTCTACATGAGTAAAATTCATTAGCAGGCCATGATCATGAGCCTTGTTTTTTAAAATAAATATTGTTCATTGAAATCTGCAAGAAATTTTCTAATCTGAGTTTTTGACGGCGTAAATTGCATCTGCAACGGGAATTTGTGTCCGCCAATAAATAACCACGCGGTCAGAAGTTCAGATTTCATTCTCTGCTAGAAGGATCTAAAACCGACGTAGCTATGTACGTATATGCTCATGAGTAATATTTAATTTATTACGACTAATTGACAAAACAATATGCATCAAATTTAGTCGATATATGTTGACTGTTTTTCTTTGACTATTTTCGTTAGTTTGTCATTTGGATAATGTTTCAAATACTGAAACAGAAGTATTGATGTATTTTTCTTTAATTTTAGAACAAAATCGGTTGATAAGTGCATTTAGGTCACGTATCAATCTTATTGAAAACGATGCTGAACTGGTAATTCTAAGTAAAGAAGAACCTTTACCAGCGAATACCCTTCTTGCATTACTTCATTTACGTGATAATGATCAAACATCAAACGGAACTTTTCCTCTTCGTTTACAAACGCATGTTAAATGTTCAAAAGAAGAAATTTTCAATACTGTAACTTTTTGTCGCGTAACAAATTTGTTTCATCTATCAATTTTTGGTCCGAATGTCTACGGTCTATTTAATTCTCGAATATTAGATCGTGAAAAATATGAAAATTATATAATACATTTAACAGCCATCAAAAATGATAGCCCATCGGCAGAAATGAATATAAACTCGAATTCGTTTCATACAGAACTATTTATTTATCTAGTACTTCTTGATATAAATGATAATATTCCAATATTTAATCAAAGTTATTTTCATATTCAAATCAATGAAAATGAACCAAAAGGAAAATTTCTAACACATTTACATGCACATGACAATGATAAAGGTATCAATGGAACTGTTCGTTATGAACTTATTGTTAATAATAGATTGTTTTCTATTAATGCATATACCGGAATTTTACGTACTAAACGTAGACTTGATAGGGAACTATGTGAATTATATCGCATTGGTGTACGTGCCTATGATCTTGGATTTCCACAACGAAAGTATTCATCAATCGTTTTAGTTGACGTACAAATTAATAATATAAATGATCATGTTCCTTATTTTATGCATGATATCTATCATTTCTATGTAGAAGAAAATGTTCCAATTGGAAAAATAATTGGAAGATTAACTATTGACGATAAAGATGATCAAGAACCTATTGAAAAAATCATTAATTTATCTACTATAGATGATGGAGACATTCTACATTTTAATGCGAGAAGATCCCACGCAATTGCACGGTAAGAATAACTAATTTAAAGATATGAAAACAACTCATATATAGACGCATACGCAGCAAAAAAAGGAAACATGAATATGGCTGGTTACACTTTGATTCTTTGTAAAGATTGCTTCTTTTTAACAAACTCTTCTGCGTCATACAGATAAAAATAGTTTTTATTGTATCATAAAGCTAAGGAACTAATTGATTAATTAATTTAAAAGTTAGTGACCAAAATAATTTGCTAACCTTGCCAGGAAATAGTTCAAAGATTTTGACATAGGTTCCTTACTATAGATTCAATTTGTCATGAAATTAGAAGTAAGATTATACTTCGAAAATTTGCAAAAATTTGTTTCTTAAAAATCCGATTTTTCAGAGGTTTGCAGACTTTAGAGTTTTCTTTTACTTGAATTGAGGAATTGTCATTGCTATCTTTATATTCAGCACTGCCGCTGATAATTAACAAGCTGAAAACTTTTCTATATTCAAGTGAGAAGAGCCCTTCAAAAAACAAGTTACTTACTATTCAAAATTGCTATTTGAACTGATGTAATTTGTAGATAGTAGTGCATCAACTAAAAATATTTGTCATTTTATGCATGACGTTTCCGGCGTCAGATTTTCAGTTATAATTTACTTAACGTAAACGAAGTTTTACATAAGAGAATATTCACAAGACCTTGAAAACATGACGTATATGATATACACATTCAGTTTATATCATCAGAGAAAATTATTTGTAGATATAATTTGTGTATCTTTAGGAATAAAAATAGAGCAGAATTATACTTTTTGACATATGATTAAATCTAAGATGAATAGTTCTTTTTTTTATTAAAGATAAAAATTTCCAAACCTTTTTTTATTGAAAAGTAACAATTAACAGTAGCTTTTCCATCGATGTTATAAGTAGTGGTGCATTAGAGAAAAATACTTTTAGAAACAATTATTTTTTATTCACTAATTGAAAATCGTACGCCCGAGCAGGTTTTTTCTTGTTCCGAAGAATCTGTTGCTATTCAATAGCTATAGATATATAGATAGTGACAGCAGTCTACAGTGACAATAGGACATGATGTACCAAGATATTTGCAGTGATGCGTCAATATTCAGGCACACAGCTATTTCTAGACATGAAAAACGCGCCGCTAGTAAATCGATGTTAGTAAATGTGACATTCATACGGAAAAGAATTTCATCATATGGAATTGGTTATATTAAACATCATTCACTGGACATTTAGAATACAAATATTATCTGCTATTTACTGAGCCACGATTCGACTGTCCTCAAACATGTGGTTTCTCATACTTTTCATAGTTTTACAGTTGGCATCAAGGACTGTCATCTATATACAGTATGATGATTATCCGTCTTTCATTCGATGAATTAACTCTTCAGTTAATTCAATGATGAAGTAATGCTCACCAGATATTTTCATGATATTGTCATAAATATTAGATTAAATATTTAATCGTTAAGAACAAGATATCGTGCGAATGAATGACGTTGACATCTACTAATTTTCTTTTCGTTTTGATTATATATTAAGCGGTATAAAAATTTGTTGCTCTATCTCAGTGCATCTGTTGAAAATAATAAAGTCTATAATAAGTCGCAGTGCCCTAACGACTCTTTCGAATCACAACTTAATAGACCACACCATTCGATGTCGATAGTATTATTATTTTTAAGCAAATGTTCTAATCCAAGGAATGGGATTATGTATATAATGATAGCTCTCAGAACAAGACTAATATGAGAAAACTATTTATAGAGTGAAACGCTATAAATAACAGTTCTATAATTAATCTAACATTTTCTAATGAAAAGAATATCGCCTTAAAATAAGCATTGGATCAATATTACACTTCAGGTTTATCATGAGAAACATGAGAATAGTAAAATTATTTTGACATATATTGTACAGTTTATTTTCAAACAGAATACAAGAAAAAATATAAAATCATATATTACATTACCAAATAATCAAATCTGCTGTCAAACATGAAAATTTCTTTGCTATACATTGATAATAAAGTGTCTTGAGACCGATTTTGTATTAATTCTGCTATAAATATAAGCTTCCGAAATATATTACGAAGCGTAAGAGGTTTATGTACTTGAAGAATAGATTTAATTTTAATTTTCCCATCATTTCTGTTTCAAAATGAAAGATATTCTTCGATATTTTCTTTTTTTGATAGAAATCAATCATCCTAACATTGTTTCTACAAAAACGTTTTAGCTAGAACATTGATATTGTTCCGATAGATGTACTTTTACAGTTGACATTTTGAACGAAAAATAAACTTCAATCATGTCTTTTGTATTTTCCATATGATAAATTCCTTTTGAATTCTCTGCCAGCAGAATCGAAGCAACTAGTCAATTTCAGTAATTGCATCACTTCACATTTCTCTCAACACTGTTCAAGAATTTCCGTTTCGTTTCTGCCAAAGAGGAAACGAGACAAGAAGATGCCTTTTCATTTGAATTTGATCATAAGATATTTTTGTTTTCGTCTAAAAAATTTCCGAAATGTTAAATTCTATTTCTTAGTAGAGTTAATTATTCAATGATTAATTTTCTATTTATTGATTCGCATCGCAATGAATCTTTGTCGGGTTTATTCTCCATTGATTCACAAGGTTTTATTCATACATCAGCAATTCTCGATCGTGAAATTCAATCAAATTACACCTTATATGTTTTTATGTATGATACAATGTTAAAATCCTATACAGCACCAACATATGTAATCATTCAGATACTCGACGAAAATGATAATGCACCTTATGAACCATTTCTTTCAAATTCATCGATTTTATCTATTCAACAAAAAAAGCATGATGAAACAGTTATCTACAAATTCAAGCCTATTGATCTCGATGATGGACTCAATGGACTTGTTTCTATTGAATGCCTTAATTGTTCAACACTATTTTATTTTCATATTGTCAATTCATCGATATTAATCACTCGACCGAAACTAAAAGTGCCCGATGGGATTTATACATTAGCTTTTGCATTGCGTGATCATGGTTTAATCACATCACATGAGCAAATATATACATTAACGTTTAATCTAAGTCATCGTTCAAACATTAACGAGCAAGAAAAAATATTTTCCACGAATTCTACTCACACTAATTTTGTATTAGTATATTCGTGGAGTTATTTTATTTGGTTTTTAATTATTTGGTTCATACTTGCTTTTATAGCTTCATGGAGATGTTATCATTATAATCGAACGTCAACTAATAAACGATTGTACCGACATAGAATACTCCACCAGAGAGAGCAGCTTTCAACTCAGATCTGTCATATAATACCCGATTTGAATACACTTAATAATCATAATGTAAGTTAATATGAATGAAATGGGAATTTCTTCAACTCTGCCTTTTCTCCTCCGTAAACAATAAAAGAAAAGAAACCCTGAGATGAGTGAGAAACCATTCGTGTTTTAATCGGTTGTTCGCTTTCGCTTGTATGATTTTATGGATAGCATGAATACTGTGAAAGCGAGAATATGAATAGCGATGATATTCCTCTATTTACATGTGAGTAGGAAAAAAAAGAGAGAAGAAGAAAACAGAATCGGGTTTCATCACCATCTTTTCTTTTTCTCTCTCTTCGGAAAAGACTATAGTTGATGTTCTCTTGATTGTCTCATTGAGTGAATGGCAGTATTTATGGTATCTATATTATTCTCTTTGCACATGCAACTTTACTCACATATTGAAGATAATTGAATGTTTTTGATACAACAAAAGCAAAGCTTGCATTTATGGCGAAGGACACAAAGTCATAGAATGTCAGTTGTATAGAATCGGTTGTTCAGGGGCAAGCGAAAGAAAAAAAAAAGAATGAATGAATGAATTAGCAGAAGACATTTTGCTAATATCTTCAGAAAAAAATATTGTAAGAACATTCTTTTCTCTTCTAGTTTAGTGAAAAGGAAGTGTTAGGCAACTTGAACTCAATTTCTATTCGAAATCATGCTTCACAAGTGATTCTTCGTTCCAAACGTTTTTCACGATCGCAAAATATTAATTCACATTATCAACGATCATCATCAATGATGAATTCAAGAGAGACCATTCTTACTGATGCCGGTAGGTCCTTTTTCCTCTTGTTACTTTTCATGTCATTAACCGATGTGCAGAGAAAAAACGCAAAGAAAAGACCTTGTCATACATCAATTGCTATCGGGGCATATGCGATTTAAATTTTTTATATTTTCTTTTGGCATGTTGGTTCTCTCTAGAGATTCAACAAACGAGGAAAAAAATCAACAAGCTTCATGATAGACTATGAAGATTGTTAGTACATTCCATATGCTTTTTCTTTTCTTTTATAGCAACAAATACTTCTTATCACGAAGATAATAATGATATTTGGAAACCTATGAATAATAATAATAATAACCATCGAATACTTTACGAAAATGCGAGTACTATTTTGAGTAATAAAAATTTTTATTTTGAACCTATCGATCGCGACTTATCAACAAATGCGGCACCCCCATCTCAAATAAATCAAGTACATTTAATTCAACGTCCTGTACCTATTTCGAATTATAATTTAAATAAAATAATTGAACATTCACAAGAGCAACAACAACAACAACAGCAACAACAAAGTTTTTCACAAAGAAAAAGAAATACAACAATGAATTTCAAACCATCACCTACGGATTCCACGATGCGATCATGTGCATTACCTCGTTCCATAACAACAGATCAATTTGCAATTAATAAAACTCAAACAAATAGATTATATTATTATCCTAGTGTACAAGATGTACTTGATGCTCTAAATCGACATTCAAATTTTAAAGAATCGATTGTTTAAGAATATATTTATTTTGAAGATTATTTTAATGCATAAATTCTTTTTCTTTTGTTCTAAATAAATCTATCATATCGAATAAGATTGAATGATTTCTGAAATATTTCTTGGGAGACGTTGATATTTAATGTCAGTCTGTAGACAAATCATCAATTGATATCGTCTAGCATTTCAACAGTACTAGAACGAAATATCATCGCTTAGAGTAAATATAGAATCTGAAGAGACATATATATGTGCGTAAACGTAGCTGAGATAAATAAACGAGAAAAACTCTTCAATAATTGAATTTATCTATACTCTATAGTGTAAGTAGAAACTCTCAAGAAACGAACTCAATTTTCATTGTGCAACACATTGTAGTAAAGTCTTGGCACAAAATAATCAATCAACTTTTGATTGTTAAAAGAAAAATGTGTTAGCTTTTTTACCTTGTGGAATAAGTTTAGACAGCTATGAGTAAATTATATAAACGATGCTGAAATTTATGTATGGACAAAGACAAAGTGATGCGTTTTGTTTTATAGTCCTTATTTTCAGATAAACTGAAGTTCTTTTCACGAAAAATATTTTTTGTATAAAAATTGAAACCATTCATCGTTTCAAAAATACAAAGTTTATTCCACTAAAACTGAATGCTTCAAAAACTAAATAATCTGATGAGATTAGTTATTGTCTTGCTAAAGAAGTGAACTGGGGACATATTTTTGAAAAGAGCAAACATGACTAATCCGGATTAACTACTCGAGACTCCTTTATTTAGTTGCGTTCAAATAGCTAAAAATATTAATAAATGTTTTGTAGTAAGACATACGCAGAAAATTTTATAATCGTTTGAATTGAGACTTTCTTTAAGTGTTAAAACTATTTTTGTTTTGTAACATCTAGAAACGCACAGCGGCTATTGCATGCACTAACGTTAACTTGCTGTTGAAAAACTATCGCTCGAGTTCGATTGTAAATTTTGAACAGTACAGCAAATCCGTCTTACTTTCGCCCAATCAAATATTTCATTCCTTAATCAATGTAATCTAAAGTACATGAAGATGAAATACAAATTGAATTGTTGAAAAAAAACTAACATTGACCACCAATTTTCATATTTTTACTTCAGTAAACTCTTTTACTGTTGCCCAGTATTTTATGAAAATACATTAAAAACAAAACTTTTTGTTTTACTCTATCGCTAATTATTTAGCTAGATTACGAACATTTTTATATATGCAGAAAGTAATCGAAAATATTCTACGACAAATAGATTCTTTTTTTAAATGACAATTACGAAGATTTATTTGATGTAAACAGATAACAAAGGAAACAAAGTATTTGGTTAGTAAATAAATTTATGTACATGAACAGTTAAAATATTAAATGATCAGTACTTGAATCATCAATTATTAATTGTAAAATAGTCAATTTATTTTATGAAATACGTAATAGACAAAAATGATTTATTCAATTAAAAGCACAACAAAATTTCATCACCGCAAAAATAAATAAAAAAAAATGAAAGTAGCATCAAATAGAAAATTGTGGAAGGAATGGAGTAAAAAAGTAAAGTAAAGTAAAGCAACATTGAGTCGATGTATTCATTAGCCACTTTTTTCGTTTGCTGTTGGCAGCGATTTCAAAAATTTCAAGTAAATAACCATATCGATGTTTTTTTTTGCATACGTAGTAGTTGCAAGATATTTACAAACAGTTTGCATTTTAATATATTCTCATCTTAACTATGTTTTAACTCAAACGAAGCACGTTTCATTGATATTTTAGAGTAACGAACAAAATGAACCGGTTTTCTATTGTTCTATTAATTTTAAAAGGCTTCTGCGATTGATTGTCAATCACTAAGTTGGGTCTATTTATTTCTAAGCCTCATTTTCAATGCAAATTATGTCTGTCATGAATTTAACGAATTAATTTAATAAATTCCAAACATATTTTTGTAGTAATTGAATTTGTAAAAAAATTTTCTTAAAATATGATGTCATTGAAAATTTTCATCATTTTCGATAAATTCTCTGTAAGATGTTGTTTATAATTATTGCATAAATTTCAACAACGTCCAAGGACTGAGAAATAGGAATTCCTAATGTGCCGAGGAATTATCAGTGCCGCTGTGATAATTCCTAGAGGAAATGGGAATCAACTATCAGTTCCCTCACAGCTCCACTATTCACGAAAGTCGCGATATTGCATCAAATTATTGATTCTCCCAATTTTGCAAGTGAAAATGAATGTAAGAACAAAAATTATCGTGAATATTCCATATTTTTGCCTTTAGTATGCAAGGAACTGTAGGGGAACTGATGAGGGATTCCTAATCCTCAGACCTTGGACACCCCTCATAAATTTAAACATGTTCATAGCAAACTTAGTTTAACATGTGTCATTCATTATCAATCTAAATCTAGAGATAAGGGCGCATTAAGTTAAGCAATAAAAAAATATATCAGGTCGCATAACACATGGCAAAGATTTATTTTCAAAATACCAATGTTTTCATGATATCCAATTTATTGCTTTTAAATTTACCATGAAAATGTCAATATTAAATATGTTACACTTGTCAAATGAGGCCTCGATAACTTTAGTGTCAGAATTCTTTCACATTACCCTTAAAATTAGAAATAATGATTGAATGTAATCAAGTAATGCAAAAACATCCACAAAATTAATGTGGTTATCTTAATTAGGTTTCTCTTATGCTATTGTGTATCGTATTCATGTTCAAAATAAATTTTATATTATGCATATATCGAGCTATTAAGATAGAACTTAAAATTCAACACAATCAATTATTCTAACAGTAAAACTATTGGAACAAAAAAGAATGAATATCCTATTATTCAAATAATATGATATGAGTTTACCTTGTCTTAATCAAATACTCGAATCCACTCTAGAAATTTTAATAATCTTTATACCATATCTTTATTCACAAAGACTTGGACGATGATATTTGGTTCGAAAGACATCCTGATGCTTGACAAAGATACTAATATTCATGGTAACATACATAGCCGCATGATATCTCTCGCTATGCGATGAAGAGGAAAACGATTGTCTATTGGCTTTGTTTACGACTTCCGATGTACTCAGTATCTCGCTATATGCAGTATAGACAAAATAGGACTGTAATATTGAATCATGTGATAGAGAGAAATACTATCATGCGCAATAAAGCTCTACATTCATATGAATAATCCTTGTTGTAGTTCTAAGATACAAATTTTCGGTTAATTTCAATCATACTGTGGTCATATGTACCAGTGAGTAATTATCTGATAATTAGACGCCCAGACTATACTAGTGTTTTGGAATTTTATGCTTTCAGTTCAAGGAATTTGAACAAGTTGTTTTCTCTATCTGTATTCAATTATTGCAAGTTCTATATTTTATTTTGATTTTTACTGAACATTAAACCATTTTTCAATACAATTTTCTATTTAATTTGTTAGAATAATTAAATAAATTACAGCTATTAAATTAATAGGCTAATCTTATTGATCTCTTGATTGTCTAACTATTTTAATTAAAGCTAATAAAAATAAATTCTTGTGTAAATTACAATTTTTTTTTTCATTTGTAATAAAACTATTTAAAAACAAAGTTCAACTGGTCGTCATATTTATTTTAACATTATTCTATATCTACATAAATTTCTTTTGAAAACGCAACTCTTGAATCTGTCCTGACATTTTCTTCTACACAAGATTTATAGTCGACAACACTAGTTGCAGCTGGTTTTTTCTTTTCTTCCTTCGAAGAGCCGAGAACGATTCGCGAAAAGAACTTATCATTTGTATGCTGTACTATGTTTTGCCATTCGTCGAATGCATGATCGAACTTGATTACTTTTTCTTTCTTTAGGTAAACTGATCTCTTGTGATTGCCAATAAAAATAATAAGATGAGATATAAGACATACACTGTTGTAGAGGCACATGACTTGATTTTTCTCCCAACATACCTACTGTCTCAAAGGATGAAATAATGCATTTTTATTTTTTAAGTGTAACATTCTTATTTTTTCCCTTCCTTTATCATCTAATGAAAAACGAATACTATCGTCATCGTAGTCACTTTCATATAAAACAAAATTATAACCATACGAGGCGCTATTTTTACTATTTTTTCAACTTTGTCCTTGCGCTTTTATTATATGTCTGTGTATATCGGCGACCAATAATATTCCATTCTTTTTTCTGTCACGTGTCGAACTCAATAATGAATTCCTTGTTTTAGACAAAATCAACAAAAATGGAGACAACATTACCACTAGAAGATGATTTCGATATTGAGGATGATATCGAAGATTTCGAGTATTAATTTTTTTTAAAACAACAACAACAAGAACAACAAAATTATTGTATTGATTTTTTTTTTATTATAGTGATACACTGGATTATTCCCATAAAAATTTCAATGACATCGATTGCAATGAGCTACTGACAACAATTGAAAGTCCAAATCGTATAATCAATTTTCAATTAAATTCTAATAAACTCTTAGTTGTACCGAATGAAATTGAAAAGTTTCAATCGCTGATAACACTTGAATTATCAAATAATCAATTAGCACAATTGCCACACGAAATAGGATCGTTAAAAAATTTAAAGAATTTACATTTGAAAAATAATGCCCTCAACGATTTATCGTTTCCAAAAGAAATGCTACAACTAAAACAATTAGAACTTATTAATTTAATTGGAAATCGTTTTAAACAATTTCCGCGTCAATTATTTCATATGATTAATTTAAAAGAAATTTATTTGAGTTCAAATCAAATAATTATGTTACCTGATCAATTTCAACATTTTACCAAGTAAAAATAGACAAAACAAAAAACCTTTAATTTAATTTTCAAATTTCAAAATTTTCTATTTAGAGTTGAAGTACTTTATTTGGGTGAAAATCGAATTGGAAATATACCGGATTCAATCGGATGCATGTGTTCATTAATTGTTTTGAATTTATGTGATAATCGTTTAAAAACATTACCGCGATCGATTTCTCGTATGATTAGAAAAAAACAACATTGATTTTGTTTTAAGCAAAAAACAAAAACAATCTTATCTTTGTTTTTCTTAGGTCTAACTCAATTAAAGTCACTTTCATTGCATAATAACCAATTTTGTGCTTTGCCACCAGATATCATTCGCCTTGATTTACAAGAATTAAGCTTAAGAAATAATCCGCTCGTCGTACGCTTTGTTCGCGATTTAACTTATGATGTACCATCATTGAAAGAATTAGCTGCTAGAACAATTAAACTACATAAAATAAATTATGATGATAAATCCATACCGAAAGCTCTTGTTGACTATTTAAATTCTGCTAAGTCATGTTTAAATCCGAAATGCAAAGGTTTGAATTCTTATTTTACTTTTGAAAAAAAAAATCTTTTTTCAATATCTCTTTTCTATTTTAGGTGTTTACTTTGAAAGTTGTCATAAAAGTATTAAATTTGTTGATTTTTGTGGTAAATTTTACTTACCGCTACTTCAATTTCTTTGCTCGCCAGCATGTACATCGACATCAACATGTCAAATGGCAACAACACATTCGGATGATATGAATAGTAAATTTAGAAAGGTGCTACTTGGTTAATTGTTTATGTAATATTTTCTTAAGGTCAAATTTTCTTGTATAAATCTTTTCAAAAGAAAAAAATCTCGGTTTCTCTGCTTATCTTCAATTATTATATAGAATGAAAATAAAAATGAAACTCTTCTATCTTCAATTTCTTATTTATCCTCTATCGTGTATTTCGATTTTTTTGTTTTTTTCCTCTTCATTTTATCTTTTGTGAATAAAAACAGGCAAACAACAAAAGACGACGACACACATTCAACAGAATCCATTGTTAAAACAAATGATGAGATGTGTGAAACCAAATGACGACGGTAAATAGAAACAAAACAAAAAAGAGAACAAAACATAATCATCACACACGCGAATAAAGTATATAGATGAAATATTTTAGTGATGTAAATAAACGCCTGTTAAGAATGAACAAATATGATGAAAAGTTATCTAAACAACAATAATAATGAAAATTTTTGAATCTATGTTTGAGAGTGAATAGAATTCTGTGACGCCGAGAAAATAGACAAAAACAACAACAAAAAGAAAAATAATAAAATAACAACAACAGCAACTTATTGCGGTTGTGGTATGATGTTAGCACAACATGTTAAACAGAAATAAATAACTTCGTATCAAATATACACATACGCAAAACAGAAAGTCGATGAATGTCTATTAAAATGTTCATGTATGTATATAAATAAACAAAAAAGATTTCTGTCTATAGAAACCAGAAGAATATAAATTAGTATATCCTTAGAAGAAGAAAACAACATCATAGTGTGCATATCTATATAAATGAATTTTATTATTCTTCATGATCTTGCTCATCGTTTGGGTGTTCCAATTGAGCCTTTGCTGATGTTCTATTTGGGTGTGTGTTGCTATGATTGAAATCATCATTTGGATATTGTTTTGTTGTTACTTCTTCGGCTTGTTTTGATTCATAATATTGAAAATCATCAAATATTGATGTTTTATGACGATACATATGTAATGTTTTTAACATTAATTTTCCTTTTTCGTATGGTATTTCTTGTGTATCTCGAGAATTAGTCACCGGTTTATTCTCATTGTTTTCTAAACGTATATTACGAAATTGTTGGTTTGGTACATCCTTAACATAGATCCATTTAACTTCAAATTTGCCTTGCCATTTATTTGACATATGCCAAACATCTGTTTGATTTTCATAATCAATAGGTGACATCATTTCAGCCATACCGCAAAAATGTCCAGATGCATTAACAGAATAGAATAAGTAAATAGGACCTTTTCCTTCACGTTCGCGAAATGCATTATCTAAACGTTTATTTCCATGTTCAGTTGAACACCAAATATTATATTTGATTGATCGATGTACATCATCTTCGGAATACTAAATGCAAGACGGAAAAAATCGGTCGTTTCTTATTTCAATGAATTGTTTTGTTACTTACAGATTTTATGACAAAGAATCGAGCTCCTTTTGGATTTAAATTAAAATCTTTTGGATTGTATTGATTAGTTTTTGAAGTTTCAAGACTCTCTGAGTTACTATTAACTGTACGTGATGATGAATAATTTTGGCGTTTAGCATTATTATTATTATTATTAGATGAATGATCCGAATTATTATTTGTCCAATTAAGAAAATTTCCATTATTACCAGATGATTGTTGTTGTTGATGACGAGGATTATATCCTGTTGTATTATTACGATATTGTTGAGTATTCGAACGTGTATGTGAAGTGTCATTAGAAATATTTGATGTACGTTCATTTGTTGAATGTATAGTCGTATTCGAAATAGACGCAGTCGATTTATTACTAGGTAGATTAATATTATCAGATGAAACAACGGACGCATAAGATTTTGGACCAGACGAAGAAGATGGACGTGCTACCGAATGATTACTACTACTTGTTTGATAATTTTGCTGTTCTTTTGATGATAATACACTAAAATTTTGTATATGATCATTTCTACCATTGTCATAATTTCTCATGCGATTATTATTATCACTAAGATTAATTGAATTCATATGTTGAGTAAGCATATCACCAACATCACCACTAGTTGATGGATATTCATCATAAACTGACGGCTTTTTATTTGATATTTGACCTCCAATAGGTTGAATTTGTTGTTGTTGCTGTACTCCAACTTGCATCGATAGATTATGAGACTTCCATGGCATATCAAAGGCTGCTGTGCCAGTTGCTGGTGCTCCTGGAAATGTTGATGGCGTAAAGCCAGGATGATAATGAGGATATGCATGAACTGGTGGATAATCAAATGGATTATGTGGCATATCAAGGCCAGATGTTGGATACATTTGAGGATGATATTGTAACGGACCAGGTGGTGCTGCTGCTGAAATACCAGCTGATGTATCAGTCGATGTCCATTGATTATGTTCATCAAACGTGCCAAATGGTTGATAGAGACTTGGAGGATAGTATGAATACAGATCGTTTGGATTCTGCATTGGTGATATATTCATCAAGTTAAAACGACCTAGAACATACATTTGATGTCGTAGTTGAATGAATAAATGAATGAATCGAATGAAATAAAAAAAGAAAAAAATTCTTCGTTATCGTTCTTCGTTTCTCTTTCGAGTGTGACGCATTAGTCGTTATAATGCTTTTTTCTTCATGTCATTTTTTCTTACTTGTTGGATATCCATACTGCATATTAGTCGATGTTGGATTATTCGATTGTGCCGAACTATGTTCGTTGATCATGATTATTTCTTTCTTTTTGTTTCAGTACAAAAAACTGATCATGACTAGTAATAGAAAAATTGAAGTTTAGATTTAACAGAACAATCAAATAAAGCCTTTTAATATTGACGAGAGAAAGATAAAGAGGGATTGTGGGATCTATTTTTCTGTTCGTTTTCAACGCGCAAATCAATCAAAGAAGAATGATATAAGCCAGAGTCTCGTACAAATAAGTTTCTCATTTAAAAGAAAAAAAATAAATCATTGAGGTCATAGTTTTTGCTATCCTCTTCTTTAGCCACAATTGATTGACTCTATTAGTGGATGTGATGATAAGGATGATGATATATTCAGATTCAGAAGCAAATAAATAACGATGACGAGTCTCGAGTAAAATATAGAAATTAAATAAGCCAATCCAAATTCATTTGATTATATACTCATAAAATTATATCGTTTCAATAATAATATTAGAAAAGCCTGTCGATTTTAATGATGCAATTATTAAATTATTTTCATAAGAAAAAATATCTTGAAATAAATAGATGACGCTCTGTTCCATCCAATCAGAGAACTAGTATATGATCTGTACTCTTTTTTTTTTACTCATGTTATGTGTGTCGTTGATCGTTGTTGATTGAATCTCTGGTAATGATGGAATATCTGGAAAAATTAAAGGTTTATGGTGATCAAGTAAAAAATGTTGTCGTTAAATCTATGGTTGATACAGCTTGCGGAGGTCAAAAAATGCTCAAAGATGCTCTTCCTGGAAATTTAGTAACACGTGAATATGAAGTATAAAATATATAAAATATCTTATTTATAATAGAGAAAAAAATAAAAATGCCATTTTTTGTAAATTGTAGCTTATTCGACCACTTGGTTCTGCTGGTCCTGGTCTTCTATGGCGTATTTATGGAGCTATTAAACGTACAACGAAACAGGTTCTACTAAAACTACTTTCTATATGTATATTTCAGTTTTATAAGGTTATCTCATGCTTATAGAAAGAAAATTTTTCTAAAATATATAGCCTAGAAGAATAGAAAATAATTATTATTTATGAATAATTCTAATCAACTCAAATGAAGACTTTTCATTTTAACACGAGCTAGCAAAATATGTACTAATCTAGAATTGTGAAAAAAAATAATATTTCTTGTAGATAAAAAACAATGAGAATAAATCTTTTAAATTGATTGGCAGTTTTTATAATCTATTTTGTCAATACATAGAGCTTCATTTTAATTTAATATAACTATTCGTAGTTACGTCTATTTTTGAACATAGATACAATTTATGCGGAATGCATGCGTAAACGATAGTACTTAACAACAAGTTCTTGGAAATATTTCATTTTTAATTGAACTTCTAACTACAACACTGAGATACTTGAGAATTCTCTCTCTCTAGGGAGAAAATTACTTGCGATAATATCTGTTGATAACCTACTTCCATTTATGTATTATTCCCTTCATTCTGCTCCAATCTTATTGCTATTATTCTTTATTCATGTGAATAACTGCTGTAGTTATGCTTCACATTATCATTATTATTTCTGGAAAAGACATATGAGCCATTAACAACGTTCTTAATAAAAGTTTCTATTGTCTTGAATAGAAAATGGAAAGACGCTTCCTTGAAATTCACATTGATCTAGACTCATTATTGTAATATTTTTGATTATTAATTATCATCACAAAAAAGTATTTAAATATATTTTAGGAAGCTGCTGTATTCGTTTTGGAAAAACGATTATTAGAAAAATATTCAAAGAAAGATCGCGAACTGATTATCGATGCAATGAAAAAAGGTGTTTTCTTTCTTTTGAAGTCTTTTTTGTGAATCTTTCTTTTTGCAGGCGTTCAACAATTGGCAAAGATTAAACATCCAAGAATTTTAAGTCTTCAACATCCGATCGAAGAATCAAGGTTTACTATACGAACTATTGAAAATCTATAAAAATATTTTATTTTTCACTGTAGAGATAGTCTTGCATTTGCAACGGAATCATGTTTTGGCAGTCTTGCTAATTGTCTTGGATTCTATGATAATATAGCTCAACCAATACCAAAAGAATTTGACGATTATAAATTGTATGACGTTGAAATTCGTTATGGCATTATTCAAGTTGGTTTTTTTTTTAATCAAAACAAAATCTTTTCTTTAACTCATTTTCTTTCCGATAGTTATGTGATGGTTTAGCATTTTTACATAATGAAGTTAAATTATATCATCGAAATATTTCTCCAGAATCTATAATCATTAATTATAATGGTGCTTGGAAACTATCTGGATTTGAGTTATGTATTCAAGGTTCTGTTGATGGAGTAAATACAAAAAAAACGCATCATTTCTTCATGCATACGTAAAAATCTTCTTTTATTTAGTCAAATTATCCATTTCGAGAATATGATAGCAATATACCACCAGTAATAAATCCACGTCTAGATTATATGGCACCAGAATATCACACAATTAAATCTTATGATACTCAAGCGGATATGTTCTCATTAGGTATGCTAATATATGCATTGTATAGTCATGGTAAAACATTAAATGAATGTCATGATAATTATTCGTTGTTCATAAAAATGTGTGATGATCTCAAAGCATTTAATACGACGAAATTATCTGTTTTACCCGTTGAAGTTCGTGATCATGTAAAAATGTTGCTTAGTCTAAAACCAGAATTAAGACCAGATTCTGGGCAATTTGCAAAAGTAAATAAAATAAAATATATATGCTGAAAAAAGTTGAATAAGTTTATTTTTTAGATACCATTTTTTGAAGATGTAGGAACGAAAACTCTAGAATATCTTGATTCACTATTTCAAGTTGATAATCTTCAACGTTCAATGTTTTATAAAAGTTTACCGCAAGTTATTGACAAATTACCAATGGTAAAATTTGAAACAATGATAAAATAATCTTTTGATTGAATTTTTCTTTCTTTCGTTTTTTTTCTCTATAGCGTGTTAATTTACAACGTATTGCTTCAGCACTTGAATTAGAATTTATAAATCCTGAAATGATTCCATTTGTACTGCCAAACATGTTTCTTATTGCTGTAGGTTAATTATTTATTTCAGGAAAATGTTTTAAGTACGCTTTCTTATGAATAGGAAAAAGCAAGTAATGAAGAATATCAAAATTATATCTTTCCAAAACTTAAACAAGTTTTTAAAATTCAAAAACCACCTCAAGTAATAAAAAAGAACTTATCTATTTTATATACGAATTTTGTCCATTATTTGACTTTAGGGAAGTAGTGCCTCTGGTTCTGTTATGCAGGTAGAGAATCCGAATATAGTTTATGTTTGATCTAATTGATATTTTTAGACACTTCTTATATTAATGCGTAATATGAATTTAATGCTGACAAAAACGCCACCAGAAGATATAAAACAACATATTCTACCTGTTGTTTATAATGCATTAGATGCTGAATCATCACAAGTTCAAGTACGAACTAAAATAATAGGAAAAACATTGAATGATACGAATCTCAATGATAAGATTTCTTTCATAATAGAATTGAGGACATGTTCATCTTATTAGATTTTGCAGTTGAGACAAAAATGTACATCTATTAGAATATCAATTGTATTATTTCACTCTTTGATATTAAAAATTAAGTTTAAACTAAACTATGATGCTTCATCAATAATCTTCTATCATGTATAAATCAAATACAAAAGAAAATATCTTTAAGATTTGTATCATTATTCTCAGTTCATTCAATGGAATATTTTATCTATCAATTTATTCATTTGTGTAGGAACTCTGCCTATCAATAATTCCATCATTTGCACATTTAATCGATTTACAAGCAATGAAATATTGTATTTTACCACGTATAAAAAAAATCTGCTTTGAAACAATAACATTAAGTGTAAGTAAAAACACTTAATTTCATTTCAATTATTTATTCTATTCGCCTTTTTGGTTTTAGGTTCGTGTTAATTCTTTGATATGTCTGGGAAAGTTAGTTGAATCGTTAGATAAATGGATTATTATAGATGAAGTAATACCTTTACTTCATTCTATACCATCTCGGGAACCTGCAGTTCTTATGGCAATATTAGGAATCATAAAAGTTGCAATGACCTCAACAAAATCTGGCGGTATACCACGTGAAATTCTTGCTACAAGAGTTATACCATTTTTAGTACCAATCTCAATTGAAACAAGTCTAAATCTCAATCAAGTAAATATTATCATTCTTCTTCATCAGTAATTAGTTCAATTGTTTCACTTTTCGCCCCGTTGCAACAATGAAGAAGTGGGATGAATGTAGAGTTGAACACGTTGAAATATTATCATAATATAGGCTAGAATTGAAAACAACTAAATTTTTTCAGCTTCAAATTTAAATCGTTGTTTTTATAGTTTCAATAGCATAGAAACATTTTTCATCCATAAAAAATATTCGAAGAGTTACTTTTACTACGTTCAATTGAAAAACAATGGACAGAAAATATTTTTTTTCCGTCGCTTGCTCAAAATATTCTCATGTTCTAGTTCAATGCCTATATGTCAACGATTAAAGATATGTTACAAACAGTTGAAATCGAACAACGTAAAAAACTCGAACAACTTTCACAACAAGCTGCAAAGTAAATCTATTCATGTTATATTTCTTCTGTAGATTTTTGTTAAAATACTATTTCAGTGCACCCATTGTTCCGATCGGACCTTCAACAAAGGATATGAGCTTTGATCAAAAATCAACATCTATGGTAAGTTCCCAAAAGATTTAATTTTGTCTTGTTCAACATGAAATAAAAACTGATAGAGGTCTATGTCTGAATGTGTTACGTGTCATGATACAGTTTTTAAATATAGTATTACAGACTACATATCAATAATGTCTTGTTATCGAATATATGAACTACTCACTGATTGACCTTTCTGTGAGCATGGAATTAAAGAAACATATCCTAAAATTGATAGATTAATATAGTACCTCTTCAACTAGTCATAAAAGCTGTACTATGTTTCACATACTTATCTAGCAACAAGATCGCTAATGATTTTTTTAAATTTATATTAAGATTGATCAATTCATGCTTGGACATGGTTTTAATTCTGAGGTAGCTCAAAATAAAAGCATGGCAGCTAGTTTTGACAGTAATTTATCGGCTGACAGTTTGAAACCACAACAAATATCACCAAACCAATCAACTGTGTCAGAAAGTTCTATTGCAAAAAAAGTAAATATAAGAAATATTTTTATCTTTTGACGAAAGATTATTTTTTTTGATTTTCTGTTAGACATTAACATTAGAAGAAAAAGAACGAATGATGCGAGAAAATGATCAAACACAACGTATGAAATCTCAAAGTGAACTTATATCTGAACGTAAAACTGTGATGACACCAATGTCCAATATTCCACTTATGGCTATGACTCCAATATCAGCAACAACAACAATGTCGAATACGTCGTCAGCATTTGTTAAAGATTTGACAAGTTCTCTATTCGAACAAACTTCACCGCAACCATCGTATGGTATCATGTCTTCTTCTCAAACAATGCCATCACTGACGCGACCGACTCTGAATAATTTATCATCTCCAATGCAACCGCAACCAAAACGACCGCCAATGAACTTTACTTCACCATCACCATCGTCAACAGCTACCACTGATTTAACATCAAGCCTTATGAACAATATTAATTTTCTTGCTTCTCGACCACAAACTAGTCCCAGTATAATGCCATTGAATTCAATGAATTCTAATATGAATTCATTGATGCCTTTGCCTATGAATAGTTCAAGAACATCATTGGGTGGTATGCAGTTATTTCAACCACTACCATCAGGTTCCGTTGTGGTTAACAGTACAAATGTAACAAGTTCAAAAACAGCAGCTGCCGAACTTGATGATCTATTTAATTAGTCTCAGAACAGTGATGTATGTAACATTCCTGTTCCATCTTATCTTTTAAATATGGTTTCGTGTTATAATTAGTCATATTTATTTTATTTATATTCTGTATCTTTTTGTTCTCTATTATTCCGTTCTCAATATAATAAACGAAAGAAAAGTAAATATTGCTTTTCGTGCCATGTGGATTGATATCTATTCAACGAAGACGCATTTAACAGCGAGGCATCGAGAAATATATCATTCGTTCAAAGGGCAACAATATAATCGTATAATGTACAATGAATATAATCAAACAGCAAGGATTTTGCTATTTGATATTTTAGAACACTTTTATTTTGAGCGTTTTATAATTTAGTTAAGACGAACTGATCGTGATACCCTTGAACATATTCCTTTTAAAAAAGTTGAGCTATCATTTTTTGATTTAGCGTAAATTAAAAAAATTATAAGTTTTCAATACACCAAGAAATATTTTATCTGTCAAATCTCAATAGTTATTTAGTATTTATTTTGTATTCAATAATAATATTCTCAAAAAAAATATATGTTTTGAATTCCTTAGCAACTAGAGAATATTTTATAAAAATTCATGCATCCTATTTTCTTATTGTATTGTTAATAAAATCAAAAACTGTGAAATAACTGCCAAGATCAGTGCGACTAATGTTTTTGCTAAAGCTCACTATTAAAAGTTTTATGTACGACTTTCAGGAAAAAACGCAAAAATGATTTTTAATTGGAAATGAACAGCGCACAACTTATTGTTTTGATTCATTTATCATGAAACCTTGGTGGTACGAAACGAAGAACTACTGGTGTGTGACAGCCATCAGGGTCGACTTGTAGTAAACAGAATGGCCTACTTGTCCTTCGATATATTCTTTTTTTTTTGTCTTCATTTCATTTTGCCGATAGTAAAACATAGTATCAAGTGATTTGAGTACTACATATGATTATGGACTACCTAACAGAAAGGCAAGAACGTGGTCAGATATATGAATTTCCTTATTCTGGTCACACCACACATTCAACATCATTTTTAAGTTACAATACCAATGGAATACCATCAGTAAGCATAATTAAATAGTTGTATTTGTAAATGTAAATTAAAATACTTTGCTCACTAGAATAACTACTCGCCACTAGATAATTTCCTTCATCATCCACAACCAAATTTCAATACATCAATCACGTCACAAATGCCTTCTATGTTGGGAAGCAATACTCTTGTCTTTCAAGTACCAGGTTAGCTTTATTTTTACTATTAAAAATTGGGCTAGTCTATTAAGATTAACAGATTATGTACCACTTGACACAATCTTAAAACAGCTTGGTGTAGATATACACTCAATGCATCGATCTCCATCTGGTTATAATTATCATAACAGTGAGTTGTTTGATTTATCGTTATGAAAACGTAAATTATTTTTCTGTCTATTTTTCTTAAGATCCATCGTCATCACTCGAGTTGAGTCTTCCTCCACGAGCTTCTCGTCATCGATCATTAATATGCCGTGAATTCTCAGATTCTGAGAGTGACAATCGTCAAGGATATTTATCTGATAATCAACGACGAATGTCAGGTCGCCGTCGACGACTAATCTGTCGCGAAATTTCAGATTCCGAGAGTGACAATGATCAAGGACGTTCATCATATCGACGTCGGGGACGGCATGGTTCTAATTCTGCATGGAATAGAAAAAAACAACGTCCTCCTGGTATTCACAATTTATTAGGTAATGTCTGGAAACAAGCAAGAAATCCTACAAAAAACGGGCCTCAATCAAATTCAAATTCTACTTTAAATCCACAATGGCGAGACATGGTGAAACCTGCTACTCCGCCTCAACAACCTACTGGTGCTAACAATGCTTGGCAAGCAATGCTAAACAATGCTACTCCACCTCAACAACAACCTACTGGTGTTAATAACGTTTGGCAAGCAATGCAAAACAATGCTACTCCACCTCAACAACAACCTACTGGTGTTAATAACGTTTGGCAAGCAATGCAAAACAATGCTGCTCCACCTCAACAACCTACTGGTGTTAATAACGTTTGGCAAGCAATGCAAAATCCATCTGCTCCAATTTCACCACAGCAAGGAAATCCTGGTGTAAATAATGTTTGGAACAAAACAAAAACTGCACCAGATGAAAACACTGGATTCTTAGCTCGATTTCGTAGGAAGCCTTCGACTACTAGTACCGTTTTTCAACCACCGCCATTTCAACAGAACCAGGCAGCTATGAATAATTTTCCAGCTGCAGATAATCTACAAGCTGGAGCCAATCAACGGAATCCTGCTTTAGCAAATATGCAAAGTAATGTTAATAATTTTCAGCAGCAAGGTCCTCCGCTAACTTCGATACCACCTCCTACGATGAATCCTGCTTGGAATATGATGTCTAGAGGATAATCAACAACGTATTAACCAAATCGTGTTATAAATCCTTCATAGAATCAGATATCAAGACCAATCCTAGTTTTCTCTACAATAACTACTCTACTTTCGAAAATCATCTTTGAATTAAACACATGAAAAAGAACATTGCACGGTTCATATCAATCATAGAGTCCTCTCTATCGTTATCTATTAATGAATACAATATAATATGAATTTGTTGGATCGATGTAATATAATGTGCCTAGTTGCTTTTTTCGATGATGATACATACAATATTTATTCTATTCTGGGTCTATGTAATTTTATTTTTCATCAATATTTATTAAAAATTATACAAAAAATTTGTGTTTAAACTTCATTTTGATGAAAACAAATAACATAGAACTAAAACTTGTAATTGTCAATGATTTCTAGTCGAAGAGATAGATTTGCTTGATTGATGGAAAATGTAAATATAAAAGTACTACTCGTGAAAATAATGATTAGAACTATAATTTATATAATATCGATCTGCAAAAAATTTTCTTCGGTGGTCATCGTATCGAGTCATCTCGAACTACTACTTTAGCTTCGCAATAAGCACTTATCTATTAATAATGTTTTCATTGACAAAATAATAGAGAATTTTTCTTTCTCACGCGCATGGGATAACAACAGAAGTAGATAGTGATTAATCACAGGTGAAGATAAAAAAAACAACAATTTTTAAAAAGAAATTAGTAATAGCAGCCTGGTTTAAATATAAATTTTCTTATCGCCACAATAAATTCAAAGTCAATAGCGTCATTGCCACGAAAGATTGTGAAATACCGAGATAAATATTTCGATAAAACACTAGAGTAGACACATTTATTTAAGTTAGAAAGCAATTGAAATTCATTGTATTTTATAAAATGCAGATTGTTAATATTTTATTCATCGTTGGCTTTTGCCGTGCAACTCTAGCGGATAATTCATGTATTTTTCAACATTCAACCAAAGGTGTTATTAATCTGAAATCCATTGGTTTACGAAATGGTCAACCCCGTTTTCGAGATTTATCAACTCCCTCAGCCCCCTATTATACTTACTCGTTCAATCCATGCTATCCATTTACAGAAAATGGTTGCGATGATGCAGCTGTGTGTCAATGTCTGTATAAATGTAAAAGTTTTTAATTTAATATATTAACGTTTGCTTTTTCTAGTATCGTCCGATCGACAATATTCATATAAGTTGGGTACACAAAATATCTCTACATGGTCATTAGATGCAAATATGGCGCCTGTTCTTACGTATACTTATGGTTCAAAAACAGTTTCTATAACAATGATTTGTTCGGCCATTGATCAAGATGAATTTGAAATAAGTGGTGAATATGCTGTTGATCAATATTCTATGCGTTTACGATCACGTTGTGCCTGTTGGAATGGATGTATTAGTCCTCAACCGAGCACTACTACTTCTAGTACGATCTTGTTTTCTTCCTAACGAAAATTATTCAGGTTGGACCCCTCCATTTTTTTGCATTAAATAGGAACATCATCACCACCACTACCAAAAACAACTACAGCACATTCGATCTATTATGATGCATGTAAATATCATGATTCTCGATATGGTACCATTGATTTATCATCGATTGGAAGCATAACTGGTAGAGCCATATTCAAAGATGTAAAATCAATTTATACAGATAGCTTCGTCTGGTCTTATAATCCATGTTACAATTTTTCAGAACATCAGTGTCATCATGTAGCTGGATGTCAAAGTAAAATTTTTAATTCAAGTTTTGTACATCTTGCAAAGCTTAAGTTTTTTGTTTCATTTAAGCCGATAAAAATCGTCGTATAAGTTATTCAATTGGATTGCAAGACTATGCTTATTGGATAAATATGGATAATACAAGAAATCCTTTTCGATCGATTGTTTATCCTTCGCCAAGCAACAATCGACGTTTAACTGTGCAACTTATTTGTGATCAATCAATATCATTTCATCGTCTTCAAGTAATCGGCGAAACATCTTCGCATGAATATACCATGCAATTAACAAGTCCTTGTGCATGTTGGGATGGATGTTCTCAACCAACACCAAGTCCATCATCATTTACTTGGGATTTTTGGATGACTGTGTGTGCAGCCGGCATTGTATTATTTTTACTATTTCTTATAATGATCAGTTGCTTATTTTGTTCAAAACCAAAACGAACCTATCATAATATGTCAATCAATGAAAGCACACCAATTATTCATGGTTCCAAAGAGTATCGTCCATAGAAGTACACGACTTATTTTTCGTACATGTATTCTTTTTTAAATAAAATGATTAACTTTGTGAATTATTATCCACAGATATAGAAAAAGCAATGTCCTTAATGTTTAAAATCAAAATTTCCTTCGCAATGTAGGCGCTAGTACTTTCTAGAGATGCACACAAGATCAAAATCTATCTTTCAAAAGCCAAAACAGAAGCTAACCTCTTGAATCGATTTCCTAGACTGAAAGGATAGGGTCTAGAAACCGTAATTCACCTGTGCCTGTCTGTCTATCTGTAACAATGGCACAAATGACCATTTCCATGGGACATATTATCGGCGGATCCACTGAGGGGCCACGCAGAGTATTCCCTTTTAATGACGGAGCAAGTGAAGCGGACTGCCGAAGTTCCCATAAGGAACTTTTATCACTGCATGGGTAAATTGTTTAACGGCGTGATCCAGTAGCTAGGTGAAGCCCAATCACTTCCTCTTGTGAAAGATATTTAAGCCCCCTGATGAGAACTGCGAACAGTGTATTCTATTAGTCAGGTGGCTGAGAGCTCTCTCTCTCTCCCTCCCTTGGTCAGAAGAAAAATCATGGTTCAGGCACTGCTTTGCACCTGTCTTCTATGCATATTTTGGTTACGTTTTTTTATTCATGGTTCTTGGAATTTTTTTATTTTCTTCTCATCGGTACCCCACTTTCACATATTCATCCTCTGCATTTCTTGTCTCGATTGAACTTATCCACTCATGTTTTTGGAAATTTCAGGATCTGTGGTGGAAACTGCGGACGAAGTCCGTGCTTCATATATTTTCATGTGTGAGTTCTGCCAGCCTAAAGGTTAGTGAATCGATTTTCGATTCAGGTTACTTGCACCTTAATAAGAATTCAAAAAACCTAACTCAAAATAATGAAACTTCAATTTTTGAATTTACTCGAACATGTAGTGTAACAACGCCTCTCAGCTTCTTCTTTCGTTAGTATGATTCTCATACATCAATTGCCTACTGAAGGGAAAATTTTGAGGTTAACTGATTCAATCAATAATGTGGTTTTTCTTGATTTACACACAAACGAATCTAATGACTTACATACATATGTAGTTGCTTTTTAATGTTATCGTTTATACCTATGTCCTTGCTTTGATTTGGAGACTACGTAGTATTACTCAGAACAGAACAGAGTAGTAAAAACAATTAGTCTCCTCAGTTTCGATAAAAAACACTGATGTTTCGAATATTATTTCAAAGTACTAATACTCTATGTTTATTATGAGTATCTACAAACTGTTAAACTCTCAAAATGTTTTCTCTATGTTGAAATAGTCATGTTTAGTTACTGTAAAAATTCTGAAATGTTGAACTTCAAACAGAAAACTGGTGGGAAATTTTTAGCGTTTTTCCATTGAGAATACAAGCCTAAATTATCAGTTTCTCGATATATTTGACAAATATGGGCACACACACACACGCAAGAGATTCTTAAAGTTATGGTAACAATGTCACCTAGTTCCTGTGATCTTCAATATCTATTTCTTGGAACGAAACGTATAAAGTAAATAAAAATCACATATAATGTGTGATGTGACGTGAAAAATCTTTCAAGCTCAAGTTTTTCATAGTTTTGTAGCTTAAGCTTTTCTGAGTCGTATGTTGCAGATTCATTTTAATAATTAAATCCCAATACATTTTTGTCTGTATTGAATTTAGCACAAGTTTGTTTTTATGGAATGGTGAAATTTCCAGCAAGGTTAGCTAGTCAATATGTTAGTTGTATTACTAGATTCTGATAAATACAATTAAATTATGTCTGAAAGTTTGTCGCGATCATTTAAAATAGAATCCGGTCTGAAAAAAGACTTGCTAATTGTTCAAATCATTGGTGGTGAGAATTCATTTTAAGTTAATGAAATCATCAAATAATGACGTGAAATCGATAAAGTATCGTGCTAGCAATTCGAATTATGATTTGTCTCTACGCTCTAACGCTAGGGTGATGTTTCGAAAAATATACTATTGATTATGGTACTATTGTTAAAGGATACGTTTGCCATGTAGTGAACATAGAAAATAATATTTTCAGCTCGAATAATTTATTTCAATAATATACGTGTGCGTTTTGCTAAAGTAAGAAGAGAGAGAGAGAGAGAGCTAGTAACGAAGTAGTAGAAACAAAAAACTATTCAATGAGATCATTAACAAAAATGTTTGTTTAGCCATTTGACATGCGATATAAAATTTAATAAACACATTGCAACAGGTTGTCCCATAGTGTTCATAAGAACATGATCGACTGTTTTATTTGTCTTTTGATGAATCACTATCAGATTTCATCGCTAGTTGAATCTAAAACGTAAATAAAGCCATTAAGTTAGTTATTTTAATAAATTGATGATATTAATTTACTTGTGCTTGTCGATGTTCTGTTTTGAGTTTATCATATTCTTCTATAGAATTGTTATATCGTTCACGTAGTGTTTGCAAATCTTCCTTGGCTTGAATTGCTTCTGTTAAATTTATAAGAAAGATAATTTTTTTTCTTCGAAAAATCATCTTGTTTAACAGACCTCGTTTATATTTTTCAACTTCAGCTTCACGTTTTTTTAATTCAACAGAATTTGATGCATTTCCTGTCGATGCTTCACTTTCTTGTGAATCAATTTTCTAAATATCAAAACTAAACTTATTTTATTCTACCACAATGTAACTTTACTTTTGGATCATTGGCTTTAAGTCCTTCGAAATGACGTTGTGCACCTTCCGCTTGTTTCAGTGCGGCAGTGGAATCAGCCATTTGGCGAGCACATGTTGATAATAGATTAATTAAACGTCGAACAACACTAAGTAGTTTTATTTAAAACAAACACGAAATACGCATATGATTTTCACTTACAACCAAAGAAAAAGAGCAAAACCAGCTATGTAGAAATTTCTTTGTGAACGAAATTCTTTCATATGTGCAAGAGATTCGGCATGTGGCGTTGATAAATCCTTAACTCCAAGACTTGCATATTTACGAAGTTCACGAATTGAATCTATAGAAATTTTAAAATAGATTTTAAAGAAAATTTCAAAATGATTTTCTTACCAAGAAAAAGTAAAGCAAAAACGCATATGATAAAATTAAAATAATATCCGGCTCCAGCTGTAAAAGCTTTAGCAAGTCTTGACTTAAAAAGTGTTTGCCAACTAAAATTAAAACAAAATTGATTTTAATTTTTATAGAATTGATAATTAATTACCGAACTGGTGAAATAAATGGCAAAAGTAGAATAATGACAGCAACTATTTCACTATAGAGAAATGTTGCAAGAAAGCTCCATTGAAAACTCATGTTTCAAATTGTTCTAAAATTTACTCTGAGTAATAAAAATAATATGGTAAAAGCAAAGTCAAAGTATTTATTTAATAATAGATAACGAATAAAAATATATGAGTAATGAAAATAAAAGAAAGTGACAGCTGTGTGTATGATTCAATGCATTGCTGTTCGCAAATGATTGCAGCTATTTACATTTTAGTACTAAAAATTGAATTTGTCATCGAAAATTTTTGTAATTAATTTTTTTCTACATAAAATATTTACAATTGTTTATAATATGTATTTAATTAATCTATGCGTATGATTGAATGAAATTTTAACCAATAACAACTATATAATATTCCGAGAGAGAAATAATACAACTGTATGATGAAATCGAAAGCTTTGGTAAGAATTAATTAGAATTGCATCAGCTATTTCCTTTTTATAAATATCTAGGTTGAAGAAAAAATAAAATAGAAATAGATCATGCTGTTTTTCCATTAGTGCATTCCCCTTAATTTCTTTTCGTATTGCCATCTAGGTTCGTTGAGTATTCTATAGTGAAATAATAGCAAAAAAAAGTACAGAGACTATACCCGATGATGAAATTTATTATGAAACAGTGCATACGATTATATTTTGTTGATTGATAAAATCTGACAATCAATAACAACTTTTTATAATATATATATATTCATGTGTTGTTGAAACGATCAATAAAAAGCACTATAGGCTGAGCTGTGATTCGACCTATATTTCCCATAATTCCTATATTTTTAAAAAAGTGCAACCGGAGGCCACACTATAGAATCTATCGTTTTGTTTTAGATTCAACATGGCTACTGATTTACCTCGTGTAAGTGTTCAAGATGTTTTGAATTGTTCTTTTTCAGTTTGGTATCCAATATTTGCAAAGTATTCCATTAAAAGGTAGCGCATAAAAGTTTTCTCATACGAATAAATAAAGAATGATATCAATTCAGTGTGATTCTTAATTTGACTGATGATGTTTTGGAATATCTGCGATCCGATGAATTCTATCTACCGATGAGGTTTGCTTTTCTATTTCTTTCATTGTTTGTTTTTTAACTGGAATACTTTTAGTGCCAATGAAGCAATGGATAATATGCGTCAAATTAATGCTGAAACATCTGACGAGGACGATCCCGTAAGAATTCCTTTTGAATAAAATAGTTCTATTCATTTGTTTTGTTAGTGGCCCGATGAAGACACATGCGATGATACAACAAAAAAAGTTTGATACTGAATTTTAATAAACACTCTATCAATGAAAGTATTTTAAGATTTCGTTTCCTGAATTAGAACAAAATATAAAAAATGTACTAGATGAATATAATGCTGTATTTCCAAAATTGAATTGGAGTAGTGCGAAAGTAACGAAGAAATTTATTATTAATGATCATAGTATTATGGTTTTTATTTTACAACGTAGGATGCTCGATGGATGATAAGCGATAGTCGATTAAAATGTATGAATTTAGCTGATATATTCTTACTTTTGAAAAGCTCAGATTTTATCGCACATGATCTTTGTGAACCGTAAGCAACGCATTCGTCTTATAGATTTAAATTTTCCTTTTATTTTATGATATAGATTTAAATTTTGTTATGATGCTACCGATGATTATTTACCAATAATTCAGTATGTACTTGTATTAAGAGAATGGTCAGCTCTACAACCATCAAAAGAATTTCGATGTTTTGTAAAAAATAATCAAATTGTTGGTATGTTTTATTTTTCAATAATAACCTATATAAAAAAAACATTTGTCGAGATAATTATTTTTATTATATTATAGCTATTAGTCAACGTGATAGTGAAAATTATTATGAATTTATTGGAGCAACAGCTGATCAAATCGTTAGTAATATAGTTGCATTTTTTCATAACAATATTCAAAATAAATTTCCATCGACTGATTTTGTTATTGATATTTATCGTAAGGATTCTGTAAGAACTTTTTTACTGCTTTTATCAATGATTTCATGAATCCAATTTTTATTTAGAATAAATTATATATCATTGATTTTAATCCATGGGGTCCAATGACCGATAGTTTACTGTTTGATTGGCCTGATTTAGTTAATTTATCATTACAAGTAACTATGCTTATTTATTGATGTTGAATTTTTAGCATTCATTTTCATGTAGAACAACAATGATGAGCCAGAATTTCGTTATGTTAATTCACAACATGGCATTAAACCAAATAGTTATACACAATATGCAATGCCAAAAGACATTGCTGATATATCTCGAGAACGTGATATTAATAAATTAGTGGATGTCCTATCGGTAAGTTAATAAACACGAGTAAAGAATTCATTATTTGATTTTGTTGTCTAGAGTCAAATACAAGTGCAAAATAAAAATGCGGATAGTGACAATGACGTAAACACTTGATTATTTTGTGTTTTTTTTTCTGTTACGTTTATTTTGTTCAATGTTGTTATTTTATTTTAAATAGAGAAATTTAGCAGGGAAAAAGAAAAGAATATTGAGTGGAACAAATGTTTGTTCTTGGTTATATTGATGCATAGTGTCGAGTAGTGAGTTCAATTCTTTATCTTTGTTTATCAATACAAGACTAAATATATATATTCAAGAGTAGAACTTTGACGTGTATGATAAACACTTAAGCTTTACATCGCAAGTTGATAGAAGGAACGAGAGAATCCACAGTTGTAAGAAATATTTTATTGTGATGCGAATATATAGTTTAAAGTGATTAATTATACTGTCATCGTTTGGACAATTATAATCAAGGATTGAATGCACTATCAATTCATTTATGATTATTCGCATTGAGGATTTAAACAAAAATCAATTAAATTATTAATAAAAAATTATTCTAATAAACTAGTACAAGAAACAAGTATTGAAAAATTATTTCGTTTAGATATGTCAAAAAGATTTTATGAAACCACCGCACACAGTGATTTTTATGCACAATGCCGACCAACATATCCACCTGATGTGATGGAGAAAATTCTAGATTATTTGTTTCTCAAAGTAGAATATTCTTACACTAATAAAACATGAATTTTCATATTTATTTAAATATATATGTCTACACTAACTAGTACTCTCGTAAAGATGACGATTTAGTAATCGATATTGGCTGTGGAACGGGTCAAAGTACAATTTTACTTGCTCCACATTTTCAACGAATAATCGGTTTTTAGAATTTCAATTACATTCTAATTATTATTTTTTTTTCCTAGGCTATGATATCAGTGAATATCAAGTCAAAAAAGCTAATGAAACTAATACACATTCAAATATTAACTATAAGTATTTTCATTCTTTTAGAAATATTCGAGAATTATTTTCAAAAACAAAATCCTATTTTAATTTCGTAGAGTGATTGTTGGTAGTGATATTCCACACGAAGATTCATCAGTGGCCTTAGTTATATCAGCTCAAGCTGCTCATTGGTTTGATCTACCTTATTTTTATAAGGAAGTTAAACGAACTCTTACAATTAAGGGTGTACTTGCTTTATTTGGATATGCGTTTGTTCAAGTGCATGGTCAACAATCAGAAAAACTTAATGAAATTATAACGAATGTAAGTCAGTCTTAAAAATAGTAGGATTCTCAACAACAAAAAAGAAGCAATATTTCATCATTGTTGATTAGTTTTATAAAAAAACGCTTCGTGGATATGTTCAAAAGGAAAGTGAAGAAGTTTATTTTGGTCGTTATCGAGATGAAAAATTTCGTGATCCGCTTTCATCAACTGATTTTATTCGGTAAGATGAATTGGAATAAATAAAATTGTTATCTTGTCTCAATTATAATAGAGACGAAAATCTCGTCATCGAATGTAGATGGTCAATTCAACGGTTATTAGGCTATATTGCATCATGGTCTGGGTCTCAACATTTTCTCAGACAACATCCAACAAGTACAGTTTTCCATGATCTAAATTTGGAGTAAGAAAATCAATCAAAAAAAACAATACAATAAAATATATAGGAGTTTTGCTTTGTTTTTAGAATATTTAAATGCCTGGATATATTCGATGATGAATATGAACTTGATCTTTCATTTGATATATTTATTTTAATGAATCGAAAAACTGAATAAAATAACAATAGCAATAATAATTTTCATTATTTTAGATAATGACGGACGAATTAGTTCCTAATCGGTGTCGATACATATGCCCACGAAAACAACGGCAATGTAAAATGTCACCGTCTACTTCACTGTCTTTGTATTGTATGGAACATTTACTATTCGATCCGGATTTGGATGAGGTAAAATACTTTATCCATTAGTATTTCGCATTTGACTTATATCTAGTTGTCAAATGTGGCAATCTCAGATGAAAAGCTAATAGAAAATCACAGTGACACAATACTTTTAATGTTCATGAGTCGCATACCATTAAGTAGTTTTTCTAGTTGTCCACGACAATAGCTCGATTGCCAAGTTTATAGACTATAAAGAGTAAGAAACGCATCATTCATGAAGAAATCGTTATCGAATAGAAATATAGATTCAGTTAGCTGTCTTGATATATGACTAAAATGATCGCTTTAATATTATTATATGTTCCTTGTCTATTATGGCAAGGCCAACAGGACACAGTGAATTAAACATTTATTTCGAGAATATCAAACACGACACCTTTTTTTTTTAGAAACTGCACAAATTTAAGTAAAATATCAACTGATTTTTATTTCGAAGATTTCATTAAAGTTATATAAAACAATCAAAAAAACAGAGTATGAATAGCTCTGAAGAAAAGTCTATTTTAATTATTTTAGGCTACTAAAGAATCTTTACGTATTCCTTGTCCATTAAATCCTCAACATTCAATTTCACCACATGATCTTCAACGACATATACGCAAATGTAATCAACGTCCTCGCATTCTTGGTCCATTTCATCGACCTAATTGTAATTCTGGACTTGAATGTGATAATCATGACGATTATTCAACAATCTTACAAGACATAACTGATGAAGAACTTCAAGCATTTATAATTCGTATGGAAGCAATTCATGATAACTTTGTTAAAGAACCTGTAGGCAATGCTCAAACAAATTTCGATTGTTATTTACCACATGTGAATGTCGATGAACTTGGAAATCGTTCACGTAAACATTTACAACAAATTGGATCAATCATAGCTAGTTTAGTTCAATTAAACCTTCTTCAAGCTAATACATGTTTTGTTGAAATGGGCGCTGGACGAGGCCAATTATCTCATGAACTTCATGCTTGTGTTAAACAAGAATCCACTGTTCAATTTGTACTTATTGAACGTGATCATCAACGTTATCGTTTTGATGCACACCATCGTCGTGACCATCAAGGTCCATCATTTGAACGTTATCGACTTGATATTCGTGATCTTTATTTAGCTGAATTACCTTCGATAAAGAATAGTCAATCTGAAAAACACACTGTTATTATTAGTAAACATTTGTGTGGAGGCGCAACGGATCTCGCTTTACGTTGTGCTGTTGATGCACAACGCAATAGTCAAAGTATTCAAGCAATTATTATTGCTTTATGTTGTCATCATCGTTTATTATGGAAGGATTATGCTGGCAAAGAATTTTTTCGTCGACTAAATTTAACACCTAAAGATTTCTCATTGATACGAACATTGACATCATGGGGTACATGTGAGAATCGTCATAGAATGACACAAGATGGAAAACGATCAACAATGGGTAAATCAAAATGAAATTTCTTCTGATAATTATTTTTTGTTTTTCTTTCGTTAAGATGGTATTTCTTTGCAGTCGTCTACTTCAACATCTACCGATCGATCAACATATTCCAAACAGCGTTTATTTTCTGTTGAAGAACAAGAAAATATTGGTTTGAAAGCAAAACGAATTTTAGATTGGGGTCGAATTGAATACTTGGATGAAAATGGATTTAGCGCTCATCTTAAAGTATATGTATCGAAAAGTATTACACTTGAAAACATTGCGTTAATTGCTACGTCATTGACAAATTAAAGTTATTTTAGTTCATTTTTTGTTTTCACGAAAAGGACAGTATTCAAGGATTGGAGAATATCAATTCTTTCTCAATTACTCGACAGTTTCTTGAATGCTAAAATGATAAAACAATAAAATATCGACGATATTTTTCATTCTTAGACTTGTTTTTGTTAAGAAAATTGTGAACATGAATGTTTGGGGGTACGGTGGGGATTTCAGATCAATGTGAATTCTGTTGGTACCAGCAGAATGTGCGATATATACATATGTTGCGATTTGTCAATGATTTGTGAAGAAATCTATTTGATTAAGTGAAATTTTCGATCTATATTAGTTTGATGAAATATTGATATAGCTTGTACTTTTAGATTTGGTTTAATAAATATTTTATTCTTCTTTTTGCCAGATGATTGTCTTCAGAATTCACTCAGAATACATGTGATCGAATGTCCGGCTATTTTAAACTTTATTCCCTTGTGACACTAAAAGATCATCTTTGTCGAAAATTTATTTGAGTTCATATAGAAATTGAATGTTTAATGACTATACAAATAATATTCAAATGGTATGAGCTAGCTGTGTACATATTACGGAAGTTCGAGATACTAAATTGAAACGACGTAGATTAGAGGTGAATGCTCGTTGATAATACATGTCTTCGAAGTGTCTGAACTGAAAATTAAAAATAATAGTTCATGTTCAGTTTGAAGTTATTTATGAAAATATTAACGAATACAATCTTTGAAATCTAGGAATTTATCTATAGGCGCTGCATCATTTTTGTTACTTATCATTATATTCTCCTTAAATTTGATCGCTTGGTACATGATCTCCATCCATCACAGATTCACCAAATTGTGACACAACTGAAAGATTCTTTTCTAGAAAAAATTTGTATCTTCACAGTAAATCGTATCCTCTAATGTCCATCTGATTTAGTGTTAGTTGTTTGCTCGTACTACTCTGTTTTAATGTTAATCAAAGCACTTTTGAGTTTTTATCCCGTATGAAACTGGAAAGACGATCGCCTTAGTCTATCTCATCTTAGAATTTGAATAAATTTACAATAATTATTAACAGATGATTGTCAATCAAAATTTAGTCGAAAATATCTCTATATGAAATATATGTAAATAATGTTGTGGTCAATATTAATTTCCTTCATAAATAATTTTAAAGTATATTACACATTCAATATCAAGAAAGTTTTAGTGATGCACATCATTGATATAAATCGAGTATTATATGATGTACATACGAAAGCACTGCTTATTGATTGTACATACCACACATACCGTGACAAATGAGTACACTAAGATACGAAATGAAAGCTCGATGAACATTATTCAAGTGATTATTTTGAACATAATAATAAAGTATATATTTGTGGGTAGAACTAATATTATGCGAATAAAATACAAAAAGACAGTTAATTTATTCATGTAAATTCATATAACTGCTAATATTGTTAACAATACTTGTTATTGATAATAAACATAGTTCTAGGAACCAACAATAATGCAATAATCAGACACAAGTGTCTATTAGCTTTAACAAAAGATTAATGAAATCGTTAAATATTTGATCTTTTAATTTTCTCTTAGTCTTGTTTTCTGATTTACACTAGAGCCCATTATATCCAAGAATTCATGAACTCGGACCCGATCGGTCAGGATTTTTGTAACCAGATAGCAAAATCTTCTAGTTTGCATCTATAAACGTAAGATTTTCTGCATAAACAAACTAAAATTTAAAAAATGATTAAATTATTATTCTATGGATCAAATTTTTCTGTCAATCAATATCTGATCAGTAAAAATTTTAGATAGGGACCTGAAATAAGTTCTAATCAACACCTAATTTGCCGAGTCAGATCCGATGAGGTCTATTCAGCATTCACATTGAAGGTGACAACCTTGGTCAGGCTCTCTAGAGTTTAACATCCATTGTGATCTCCACTGTGAAATCATAGAAAGGTACTTGCATAGAAACATATTTATCAATCGGTATATCTTTGAAAAATCTCTATATGTCAGTTGGTCACTCAGGTACCTACCTATCTGCCTGTCTACATATCGAAATTTACTGAGATGTTATATTTCCCACGATTTTCACTTGAATATTTATAAGAGCTATAAAAAAAACACGAGTCCAATCATGTTTTGCAGTACCTTGGTAAATATTACAAAGAATATAATTTAGTTGTATATCAATCAACTTATTTGACTGTTTTTTTTATTATTCTCAGTCATGAGGAAAAAAAGCATGCATGCATTTTTTTAACCAATCAAATATTGTGCTCATAAAAGTTGGTCGACAACTGGTATAGTCACAATATGTTCTTTTCACATATGAGGTAACTACTGTGCTGTCGTTAAAATATATATCATCTAATGTGTTTAGATGAGGCTCATTAAAAACGGAAGCTTTTCTGTTGCGTTTTTATAGGTACATATTTTTTGCTTCTCATCTACACTATACGATGCGCATCTCCCCCAAGGAACGATTTATATGTCACACTTTATACACATTCAACGAATTATTTATTCTTTTTGTATGTATCAATATACAAAAGGTTCACCTTGTTTTATGGCCACCATACACACACACACACGAACTTCGAGTAATTAGAAATCATCACGAAAACAACCATCGTTAATATACAAGCGAGATCTATACAATTAACTAAAATAAAAACATATGGATATATTTGTTTCTCATATAACACTCTCTTGGAAACGAATTTATCATCATGAAGATGTTCTAATACGTTTTCAACTGAGTAACTTTTGTCTTTTATCTCTGACACGTATTACATTCCAATAGATAGAGAAATAAAACGACTACACAGCATCGAATCATTGACTGTTCATATGTTCCATCAGAAAAAGAAAATATATAAATTGTCAATAATGGACAAGCACTTCCCTGTGGAAAAAAATGCATAAATAGACGGCTATCATTCTGATTGATCAAACGGACATGATTCGAAAAGTTTAATAGGGCCATTGAACGGCAACAGCAGTTGAAAAGTGTCGAATCTTCTGCATTTGACCGACAACGAGTACACGTTGTAGGGACCAGTTGATTGTGCACATGTGTGAGAAAAACTATAAAAAAAAACATAAAGCTTAAGAGAATAACAGCAACGAATAAGAAACAGCTGAAATATTCATAAAAATCCTTTCTATAAATCAAATAAATATTGACAAACAATTGTATTGTATTTTTAACAATTAATTTCACTTTGCAAATGCTCTATTTAAATACGAATGTGTTAATCAAGCTCAATAGCAACCATCTACTATTGTTTAGTAATATGATATTTTTTTTATGGAGGCCATTTTACTCTGTATATTTTTTCTCTCAATGTTTTTTTTCTTTTATTGTACATACACATAACATAAACTATATCTACATAGATCGGTTAACGATGAGAGACATCGTAACATACAAGATTTTTGACTTCATTCAGGTAATATTCATAGAAAAGTTTGAATGTAAGATAGTTAAACAAATACGTATATGTTAATGCAACAATACGTCTCACTCTATATCTCATTTGCAATTATCAATCAAAAACGATTTCATCCAAACATAGGAAACATCTCGTATTATTTGCATATATATTTATACATCAAACATTATGAAAGTATTTTATCTTTGACAATTACGTATTCATCTCTTTACGAACGGAACTATATCGATTTTAATGGCACTCGTACACTTCGTTGATCAAAATAAGTTCTACGAGTAAGAAAGACACAACAGCAAAAAAATATACGAAACGTCAATGACAACATGATCAAATAAAAACAATTGTCGTTTTCATTGGATATCATCAAATTCTCATTAGATCGAAGACTTTATTAATGATCAAGTGATATTTTGTCAGTGTTTGTGATTCAATCAAACAAATTTAAGTGTCAAACTGTAACAACTTAAAAGTCATCGTCATCTTTATTTGTGAGACAATCTTTTGTACAAAATATTTGATCTTTACATATCAATGTGCGAAAAAAAAATTGTGCATTCTTGTCGTTATTCATGCGAAAAGCCAAGTGACCGACAATTAGATCAACTAACTTAATCATCGTCATCTAATGTCAAAGAATACTTCAAAAATGTCAATATCGAAAGTAAAAGTAAGTTTTTTGCAATCGATACTCTATTTTACTTTTTCAGCGTCAAAAGTATTTGTTTATCGGCACGTCCTCCGTCAGATGATAGGATAGGATCGTGCACATGTTCTCTATCTATTCGTGGACTCTCAATGAATAATGATAAGAGGAATAATCGTTCTTCGGGGGAAAAAGAAACGACTCAGTCGAGAAAAAGCCCACCAAACAAAAGAAAGATATTGATTGGCTGAACTGCGAAATTTCTTTTCTTGAATCGTGAATGGTTGGAAAATATTCACCATGCTGCTACTGGAGAGAAATCGACAAGAAATATTCTTCTCTTCGACAGGCATCAAGAATCATTTCAATTGTTATGTCCATCGTCTTTATTAATATAGCCATTTAAAGTTATTTTTATAGATTCAAACGTGTGTGTATTTGTGTGTGAATTTTTTTATGGGCTATATTATTACTTAATTCGCATTATTACAGAAAAAAAACAATGAATAATTATTTCAATTTATCATCAGCATTTAATAACAATAATAATAATCAACCCATGTATGATACAGATTATAATCGTGGAAATTTTCGTTTAATAGCAAAAGATTCAACACGTATGAATCCTTATTCGAATTTGAATATGATGCAAACAGAAACACCTCATCATCAACAATTTCATCTTGAACCATATTCAACAACTAATGATTATCTTTTATCAACTTCGAGTGTTACACCCCCATGGAAGCAAACCGAGCCCATGTCATCATCCGTTAACAATATGATATCATCATCATCATTTCCTATGTCAGTTACAAATCCAATGCTTTATTATGCACATTCATGGATGAGACCAGGTATGAACTATAAGTTAATCAAGAGAAAAGTAAAAGAAATGATTTATTGACAACTTGTGTGAAATTTGACATAAATGTAACACATAGAAATGATTAACATCTGTACCATAATGTTGTTTGTTTACGATTATTGCACTAAATCATTGGTTTTACTTTTTACTTGTTTCTATAGAACTCAACTTTGAACATAAGCGTACTCGTCAAACTTACACGCGTCATCAAACACTTGAATTAGAAAAAGAATTTCATTATACAAAGTAAGAAAACAAGAATTATCTTTGTTTCTCCTCAATTTTATATTTATTGATCAAATAATAGATACATACCACGTCGACGAAGACTTGAAATAGCTTATGATCTTGGATTAACCGAACGACAGATTAAAGTAAAACAATGAAGTTTTTATTTTTTCTAGATTTCATATTAATCAATTCATTTTATTCTTTTTTTTTTTCTAGATTTGGTTTCAAAATCGGTAAGAAATAAATAAAAAATGATGTTGTATCCATCTTCTCATTATTGTTCTTTCTATTACGATTAGTCGAATGAAATGGAAAAAAGAAAATAATTTTAAATCACTTAATGATCCTCAAGTTAAACTTGAAGCGAATGCAACAAGTCATACTGCTAATCAGCATTCATATCCCATGTCAACAAATGATACATCGTGGTCATCGATTTCAAATGCGAAAAAAGAAAATAATCATTCATTCAATAGCAATGAAAATAATCAATAAAGATTTAGCTGTCTTTATATATAGATATAGATATTTGACTACTAGTCGTATATAATATACATGCATGGTTTCTTTTTTGTTCTTCTGTTTTTCTTTTTGGGATTTGTTTGCAAAAGAAATATATAAATTCCTAATCAGTTCTCAAAATTTATTTGAATAAAAACTTATAAATGAATATCAATAAATAAAATGGAGATACGTTTTTTTGTATCTGCTTTGATACATATTTATTCAACATAATTTTCACTCAATTCTTCAATAATGTAATAAGAAATCAGTTAATACATTATAACGAAACAATATTGATGTACGTTCTTTTATTGTATATCAATAACATCTGTTGCAGTTATCACGCGTTTTCTTTTTATATTGTGTTTTTAGAAAAATATTTCAAACAGCACAAACTTAGTAGGATTCTATTTAAAAATTTTAAGCAACTTTTTGTTATTAATACTAAATCACTGTTAGAATAATTTATTCGCTATTTTAAAGGTTATCTATTTCCTGAAAGGAACTAATTTAATTATAAGGAAAAAAATTGTATCGGTACAATAATAACATAGATAACAAAGTTTATACTTTCAAAAAGTAACGATTAAAAATAGTTCGCTAGTTAGATAATAGAATAGTCAGGATTACATGAACGTTCTGACTACGTTCCAATTAAAATAAACAGCAAACAATTATATTACCAAATTTTCGAGAACAAGTTTTCGTAATAAACTTCTTTTGGCTCAAATAAACTTATTAAGTCAGACGTTATGAAGTCGCTTTCATGGATTCCTTATGTTTTAGATATTATTTCATCAGTAATTAAGCAAGAGTAACTAATGATTAATGGTATTGAGAACTGAATTCAAACTTCATGCATGCCACAGTGGAGTCAACTGTTGCAATATTTTATTTTATTTAACTAACTACGAATGTATTCCTGTACAATAATGTTTCTGGAAAAATAGCCCAGTCTTTGAATTAAAACTAGTTTTGCAATGAATATATTCCATGGAATTCTTTTTATTTCAAACATATACGTAATTCTCTCGCACATCTCGAATGCAAGCTTTTGACTAAGTCAGTATGGGGAAGACTATACTCGTGTAGAATACGAGCACTGTGCATGAAAGGATAAATTAAAATTAACATGGATAATACAAAAAATTGATGCATCAGTTTCATATTATTCAATGTAGATTTGAGCTATATTCTCTTTCGATTAGAATTAGCGGTATCATAGCTAATAAAAGGTTTAAATGAGTATTTTCAAACGTCTAATCATGTCATTATAATTCAATCTGAATCTAAATCGAAGGATATATGATTAGAGAAAAGTTTTCAAGTAGAATCGGATTGAATTACTGGCCTTTATCATGTGATTAAATTTTACACTGCTGATGTAATCAATGAAGTCTAAAAATAATTTGTTAAATAATAACTTTGATCAAAGTATTTTCTTTCCATCTTACTATCATTGATATGGGGAATTGACTTAGTTTCAAACGAAAACATTAAATTTACAGATCGGTTCTATTTATAAATTATATAAAGACCTATTTGTTTAGTTTTTTTTTCTAAAAATGTTCATATTTTACGGTAATTCAAATTTGATACTTTTGAATATTTTAATGGAATTTAAACGACAATAAAAAGTAGCAGATCTACAGCTAGTCTATTCGAAAATAAAGTAAATAGATTTTTATTGAATATGTATTAGGTTCGTTTGTGTTAAAATGTAGATTTTAAGTGCAGCGAAATATGTGATGTTTGATTTAATAGCTTCTCTTTTTTAATAATGATATTTCGACAAATTCATTCAACGAATGTCATCTTCAGATTATCATCG